TTCATAAATTATCACAATTCCTTATTACATATTCAGTGCGCAGTATGAAGTTTTTTGGTCGTACTACCGTATGCGGACTGCTGCCACATACTGACACACTTTAATGCTCTCTTTCTCTATCCATTTTTCTGTATTTAGTTGGTGCCTATTGGATGAATGTAGAGTCCTTAAAAAAGGGTTCTGTTTGAATGTAAACCACGCAGCTTGACAAGCATAGTGTATATGGTGTATACATCAGTATAACCCCAGATACCCAGTATTACCCCAGATACCCAGTATAACCCCTGATACCCAGTATAACCCCTGATACCCAGAATAACCCCAGATACCCAGTATAACCCCTGATACCCAGTATAACCCCTGATACCCAGTATAACCCCTGATACCCAGTATAACCCCTGATACCCAGTATAACCCCTGATACCCAGTATAACCCCAGATACCCAGTATAACCCCTGATACCCAGTATAACCCCTGATACCCAGTATAACCCCTGATACCCAGTATAACCCCAGATACCCAGTATAACCCCTGATACCCAGTATAACCCCAGATACCCAGTATAACCCCAGATACCCAGTATAACCCCTGATACCCAGTATAACCCCTGATACCCAGTATAACCCCAGATACCCAGTATAACCCCTGATACCCAGTATAACCCCTGATACCCAGTATAACCCCAGATACCCAGTATAACCCCTGATACCCAGTATAACCCCTGATACCCAGTATAACCCCAGATACCCAGTATAACCCCAGATACCCAGTATAACCCCAGATACCCAGTATAACCCCAGATACCCAGTATAACCCCTGATACCCAGTATAACCCCTGATACCCAGTATAACCCCTGATACCCAGTATAACCCCAGATACCCAGTATAACCCCTGATACCCAGTATAACCCCTGATACCCAGTATAACCCCAGATACCCAGTATAACCCCAGATACCCAGTATAACCCCAGATACCCAGTATAACCCCAGATACCCAGTATAACCCCAGATACCCAGTATAACCCCTGATACCCAGCATAACTCCAGGTCTCTCACATAGCCTGGGACAATAACTTTGCCTAACCTGTAAACAAACCCGTATTTCTCGAACAGAAACAACAAACAGCCGTTCCCATTTTTTTGTATTTCCATGTCATGGCCTTAGAAAAGTTGTGTCTTCACAATCGGGCCAGCATAAAGTGGTGTTAGCCAGATTAAATCTACCCAAGTTAGGCTGGTTGATCTATGTTGAGAATTGTGGGTAATATTATCCCTAATATGTTCCAATTAACAAACGCTGTATAGACTGACTCCAGCCCGGTTGACTGTGTACTCTCGTAGCACTAAATTGTCTGTAGATAATCTTCTTAATTTCTTGGCGAGTTTGTAGTAGCTAGTTTTTTGTCAGGGTTGTGTAGGGTCGACTGAGAATCCATGTGGATTCTCAATTGATACGTTATACACTAGAAGAGGCACAATATACACTAGAAGAGGCACCATATACACTAGTAGTGGCATTATATACACTAGTAGTGGCACCATATACACTAGTAGTGGCACCATATACACTAGTAGTGGCACCATATACACTAGTAGTGGCACCATATACACTAGTAGTGGCACCATATACACTAGTAGTGGCACCATATACACTAGTAGTGGCACCATATACACTAGTAGTGGCACCATATACACTAGTATTGGCATTACATACACTAGTAGTGGCATTATATACACTAGTAGTGGCACCATATACACTAGTAGTGGCACCATATACACTAGTAGTGGCACCATATACACTAGTAGTGGCACCATATACACTAGTAGTGGCATTATATACACTAGTAGTGGCATTATATACACTAGTAGTGGCACCATATACACTAGTAGTGGCACCATATACACTAGTAGTGGCACCATATACACTAGTAGTGGCATTATATACACTAGTAGTGGCACCATATACACTAGTAGTGGCACCATATACACTAGTAGTGGCATTATATACACTAGTAGTGGCACCATATACACTAGTAGTGGCATTATATACACTAGTAGTGGCACCATATACACTAGTAGTGGCACCATATACACTAGTAGTGGCATTATATACACTAGTAGTGGCACCATATACACTAGTAGTGGCATTATATACACTAGTAGTGGCACCATATACACTAGTAGTGGCACCATATACACTAGTAGTGGCACCATATACACTAGTAGTGGCACCATATACACTAGTAGTGGCACCATATTTACTAAAGTGATACCTTATGTACTAGAGGTGACATCTTGTATACTGGAGGTGATACCTTGTATAGAAGAGGTGGTACCTTTTATACTAGACGTGGTACCCTGTATACTAAAGGTGGTATCGTTCGTACTTGACATCTTGTATACTAGAGTGATACATTGAATACTAGGTGGAACCACCTGTTCTAGAGATGGCATCTCGTATACTAGCAGTGACATCTTGTATACGAATGGTGGCACCTTATATTGGTTATACCTTATTGTTAGTTATTTATACCTTATGTTGGTTGGTACCTTATAAATCCTTGGTTTAAAAAAATGTAGTCTTAAAACTTTTTTTTTTTTGAAGAATTTGGTTTTCTGTAAACAGAATTTGCAGGCACACTTAAATAGTTTTCGAATGTTCCAATATTTCACATTCTAACAAGTCATCCCAGCTTTTCTAACTTCATTTTTTATCATTCTTGATAATGTGATAAATTCTTTTTCTAGACTCACTTCCCGATTTTAATACCCAGATACGTAGCTTTCTTATTACTAGTTAGACGCTTTAGTTCCGCTGAATAAACCCAGGTAACCAGTATCAATAGCCCCAGGTACTATACCCAGTATAGTACTATACCCAGTATAGTACTATACCCTGTACTATACTATACCCAGTATAGTATAGTACAGGTGCCCAGTATAACCCCAAGTGCCCAGTATAACTCCAGGTGCCCAGTATAACCCCAGGTGCCCAGTATAACCCAAGGTGCCCAGTATAACCCCAGTATAACTCCAGGTGCCCTGTATAACCTCAGGTGCCCAGTATAACCCCAGGTGCCCAGTATATCCCCAGGTGCCCAGTATATCCCCAGGTGCCCAGTATATCCCCAGGTGCCCAGTATAACCCCAGGTGCCCTGTATAACCCCAGGTGCCCAGTATAACCCCAGGTGCCCAGTATAACCCCAGGTGCCCTGTATAACCCCAGGTGCCCAGTATAACCCCAGGTGCCCTGTATAACCCCAGATGCCCAGTATAACCCCAGGTGCCCAGTATAACTCCAGGTGCCCTGTATAACCCCAGGTGCCCTGTATAACTCCAGGTGCTCTGTATAACCCCAGGTGTCCAGTATAACCCCAGGTGCCCAGTATAACCCAGTATAACCCCAGGTGCCCTGTAGGTGCCCAGTATAACCCCAGGTGCCCAGTATAACCCCAGGTGCCCTGTATAACCCCAGGTGCCCAGTATAACCCCAGGTGCCCAGTATAACTCCAGGTGCCCTGTATAACTCCAGGTGCCCTGTATAACCCCAGGTGCCCAGTATAACTCCAGGTGCCCTGTATAACCCCAGGTGCCCTGTATAACCCCAGGTGCTCTGTATAACCTCAGGTGCCCAGTATAACCCCAGGTGCCCAGTATAGCCCCAGGTGCCCAGTATAACCCCACGTGCCCAGTATATCCCCACGTGCCCAGTATAACCCAGGTGCCCAGTATAACCCCAGGTGCCCAGTATAACCCCAGGTGCCCAGTATAACTCCAGGTGCCCTGTATAACCCCAGGTGCCCAGTATAACTTTAGGTGCCCAATATAACCCCAGGTGCCCAGTATAACTTTAGGTGCCCAGTATAACCCCAGGTGCCCAGTATAACCCCAGGTGCCTAGTTTAACCCCAGATGCCCAGTATAACCCCAGGTGCCCAGTATAACCCCAGGTGCCCAGTATAACTCCAGGTGCCCTGTATAACTCCAGGTGCCCTGTATAACCCCAGGTGCCCAGTATAACTCCAGGTGCCCTGTATAACCCCAGGTGCCCAGTATAACCCCAGGTGCCCTGTATAACCTCAGGTGCCCAGTATAACCCCAGGTGCCCAGTATAGCCCCAGGTGCCCAGTATAACCCCACGTGCCCAGTATATCCCCACGTGCCCAGTATAACCCAGGTGCCCAGTATAACCCCAGGTGCCCAGTATAACCCCAGGTGCCCAGTATAACTCCAGGTGCCCTGTATAACCCCAGGTGCCCAGTATAACTTTAGGTGCCCAATATAACCCCAGGTGCCCAGTATAACTTTAGGTGCCCAGTATAACCCCAGGTGCCCAGTATAACCCCAGGTGCCTAGTATAACCCCAGATGCCCAGTATAACCCCAGGTGCCCAGTATAACCCCAGGTGCCCAGTATAACCTCAGGTGCCCTGTATAGCCCCAGGTGCCCTGTATAACCTCAGGTGCCCAGTATAACCCCAGGTGCCCAGTATAGCCCCAGGTGCCCAGTATAACCCCAGGTGCCCAGTATAACCTCAGGTGCCCTGTATAGCCCCAGGTGCCCTGTATAACCTCAGGTGCCCAGTATAACCCCAGGTGCCCAGTATAGCCCCAGGTGCCCAGTATAACCCCACGTGCCCAGTATATCCCCACGTGCCCAGTATATCCCCACGTGCCCAGTATAACCCCAGGTGCCCAGTATAACCCCAGGTGCCCAGTATAACCCCAGGTGCCCAGTATAACCCCAGGTGCCCAGTATAACCCCAGGTGCCCTGTATAACCTCAGGTGCCCAGTATAACCTCAGGTGCCCTGTATAGCCCCAGGTGCCCTGTATAACCTCAGGTGCCCAGTATAACCCCAGGTGCCCAGTATAGCCCCACGTGCCCAATATATCCCCACGTGCCCAGTATAACCCCAGGTGCCCAGTATAACCCCAGGTGCCCAGTATAACCCCAGGTGCCCAGTACAACCCCAGGCTAACACAAATATCTCTCCCACAGACGGCGAGGAACACACTGGCTTGGTATCGGAGATCTCGGAGTTGCAGAAAGAGAACGCTTCCATGGAGGTCCACGTGACCAAATTACGCCATGACGTATCCTCTATGGAGGCTGTGCTCAAGGTCGAGCAGAAGGTAGGTGTCTGGCGGGGGGAGGCGACGGTGGGCTGTGGTGGGGTGGTCAAGGGAATATCCACATAAGGGTTTATTTCAGTTATTTATTAGAAAGCCATACTCAGAAGGTAAGCGAGGGGAAGGGTGCTGGCCGAATTAGCGCGAGAGAGAGGTCGAGTGAGCGATAGAGGATTGATGATGATGAAGATTAAGCCACCCAAAAAGGTGGCACGAGCATGAATAGCCCGTAAGTGGTGGCCCTTTTGAGCCATTACCAGTATCAAGAGCTGATACTGGAGATCTGTGGAGGTGCGACTGCACCCTGCGTGACGGGAGATGTCTCCTGTGAGCGATAGAGAGGAATGTTGTGCACTTTATAAGAGTGCATAACACTGGATGAGAGCTACCACTTACGGGCTATTCATGCCCGTGCCACCTTTTGGGTGGCCTAATCTTCATCAATCATCAATCGATGAGAGTGCACATCCTTGATGGGCGTGCACAGTACTTCATGAAAGCACAAAATTTCACGAGATTGTGCAGTACTTCACAAGAGTTCGTAACAGTCCATGAGACTACAACAGTTCATTAAAGAATTAAACAGTTCATGAGTGTATAGCAGATCATTAGTGAACATCAGTTCATGAGTGTTCAACAGTTCATGACAGTGCACAGCAGTTCAGAAGAGTTCACAACAATTCATAAGGGTACACAACAGTTCATGACAATGTACAACAGTTCATCAGTTAGTGAGGGTACACAATTCATGAGACTACTCAGGAGTCCTTGATAGTGCACAACAGTTCATGAATGCACAACAGTTCATGTGAGTGCGTGTGTTAGAATGTTAGTAAGTCATCAATTGCCTTTTATTGTTGATATAGTGTTGATGTGTTGCTGTTGTTGCAGGAGGCGGCTGGTGCTGGTGAGAGGGGGGCGCAGTTGACCGAGTACTACGAGTCGTTGCGGAACAATGTTATGTCGCTCCTGGAACACGTTAAGCTTCCCGGGGGCGGCCCCACTCCCACCAACGACCGAATCGACAACTTCGACTCCTATCTCTCCAAGATTCACTCGCTCTGCACCGATAACTACTGCGAGGACACCCGGCCACTCTACGACAGTGTGCGCTCAGCTCTCCATGATTTCACAGTGCCCCCGACGCCCATCTGACATGACTAGGGATACGCCGGGGCGGGAACGGCGCCCTCTATGGCCGCCGCTAGTGTCCCGCCCACCCATTCCTATTTCCCAACCTCCTTTACAACGCCCTTCTTCGGTGTGCCGCCAGTGAGCACGAGTGTGGCCAACAGTGCGGCCATGGCTAACACCATGAACAGCAACATGAACAACAGCAACGTTGTAGCCTTCACCAGCCCGGGCAGCACCGGCCACAACACCAGCGGCGGACACATGGGTGGCAGCAGGTGACTGGAGTAGTGATCTTCCCCGCCCTCATGGTGCTTCACTGCAACGTGGCGTCCTATCACCCTCACACTGTTACCTGCAATGCCAAAGACCAGTCCCCGCATCCTGAACTCTCATATAAAGGTGTTGAAGGGCGTATTTCCCACGTGATGGTGTATTATGCTGGGCTGAGGCTAACATGCCCTAGTGTTAGGGCGAGGGTGTGACCTTAAGCCCGGCCCTCGTGGTCCAACTTGCTGATGGCGTGGGTTATTGTGACACTTAGCCTTGCTTTCATGGTCCCACCTTCTGAGGACCTGGGTGAGTGTGACCTCAACGAGTCCGGTCCACACCCTCTTGAGGGCCTGCATGAGTGTGACCTCAGCAAGCCCGGCCCCAAAAGGTCCCACCCTCTGAGGGGCCTGGATGAATGTGACCTCAACAAGCCCGGCCCTCCCCAAGGTCCCACCCTCTGAGGGCCTGGATGAATGTGACCTCAACCAGCCCGGCCCCCCAAGGCCCACCCTCTGCTCACTCTGTGTTGACACTCCCACCACGAGCTTTAACGTCTGCGATGTTAATGTAAATAATCTAAGACTTTTCTGTAAAAATCATGTTTCCAATAGGTCAAGTCGTTTGTTGGTGTATTTGAAAAACTGTCTAGACAATTAGCTTGCTTCACATCGTCGAAAATCTAGTAGTGTGTGTGTATTCAGGAAGTCGACTTTCCAGCAAGCTACGTGTCTACCCGCGCCAAGCCAGTGTGATGACGTATATCTTAGAATAGGGAGCTTTGATAATGTTCCTTTGCATAAACTTTTCATTTTCTTCAAAAGCGTGAAAAGTGAAGTTTACCTAGGTTACCTTTGACGAACACTGCAAGCTAACCCATGCTTTGCCTGTCCAGGGGTTGTGGGTTAACCTGGCACGCGGTCCGCCTGGCATATCTCCACGATTGAAGGGTTCAAAGTGATCGGCATGTTTTAGTGTTGCTTTTTGCTTCACTAGTCATATGGAAATATTTTGGACGTAAAAAAAATAGTTGTGTTACCGTTTTATCTATATTTAAACTATAACTACCTAGGTTTATACATTGCGTATTAAGCGTTTACTCAGACTAACAAAATCGTCTTCTTGTTGGTGTGTTGACTCATATTACTACTAAACAATCACAGGTTTATTTGCCAATCACAGGTCTGTGTCGTCATGCCTTATGTGAAATTCAGCAAAACATTTAGAAACATGATCCTAATAATGTTCTTCATCACTAAGCGATCTGTATGTTTTCTGATAACACAAGCATAGATAATTTGGCCTCCTTGTATACATACATATATAAATATATATATTCATTGTTGTTGGACAATCAAAAATACCCCAACAGGTATCCAGCCTCCTCGTGAATCTTCTGTAAGTTTGGTTGTTGTGATGAAGTGTCAAATTATCAGCTGCACAAATCTTGACTTCCGAACTTTGTGAGTGTTTTACAGGAAGTGCATCAGTCCCTTCACAGCAGCGTGTCTACCCCCCTTACTGCAGGTGAAACAATGCAGTATAACACTTGTGTTTCCACATGCAGGAGTGTTACATATGATCTTATGCTCTCTAATGTTACATTTGTTTATTGGTCAGATTCATTTTGGTTTATGGTTCTACTCGAGTGCCCATTACTCAGCAATGATTGTAGTCGGTTGTCGCTCTTAATGATAAGTAACATTGTTCGTAACAACTTTGGCAGTGTAAAAGTCGAGTTTTCCTTTACTCCCACGTCACAACTACTGTGCTATGTATTTGTGGCCACACTCGTCTTGCTGGTCACTGGTCCTCCCGGTATCATTTGACAGCTGTAATCCAATAGAAAATGTATCCACCAGAAGCTGCAATATCTTTAGTTTCCTCCTTTGTTAGTACTTACAGTTTCTAATACATCTTAGATTATCTCAGTTTCAGGTTGTTTGCAACAACTGAATCATTTATGTAAGCCAGTTACTTGATAGTTTTTGAAATTGTTTTAAATTAATATTATTTCACTCATCAAGCTACCCCCAAATTTAGCAGTATTATCTGCCGTTACATCAGCCTCTGATGGATTCAAGGTATTAATTTATTCAGGTGGTGAGAGCCAGTCGTGATTTTATATCTGCTCCCCTTACACTTTTCTTAATAAAATGGTGTGTAAAACTCTGAACCTTATTTTAAAGTTAATGAAGGTAATTGGGTGCCATTACTGTTCAGTGAAGTTATACAGCATTTTGCCTAATAATGTTCAAATCAAGCACAAGATGTGAGGTACATTTATTAAAATAGTTTGAAAATGTTTATCACCGCCAGTATGCATGAGGAACGAGTAGTAATTCTAAACTTTCTTTTTAATTCACATGTGATGTTACTTTGTTTTGGGATGTATAGTTGTATGTGAGCGGTTGTTGAATGCCTGCATTGAAGCAACTGGATTTAACTCCATCGCTCCTTTTCAGCTTAATAACTGCTGAAACGTATGCACTTCAGCCAGCAGCCTACATGAAACAGTTGATAAGGGACAATGGAGTTGCTTCCACAGATGGTAAACTTATATCTGAGCCAACACATACGTTACAGGGAACCTTTACCCTTCTGTTGGACAACTTGTTGGATTGGTTTGCTGCAATAATAGATGCCAGGTGGTGACAAGTATGTTATAGCACATGCTCATTAGTTTATTCAATCGATTTATATGTATCCAGTGTGTGAGATTGTAAGATGTAACACGGTAGAAGAGATGAAAAAATCTTCTTGGACAGTGTGTGTGTAATCTTAATATGAAAAAAAAAGATGTACCAGTTATGTAGGGACAATAATTGTAAAGCAGGAGAGTTCTCCTTGTCCCGTGTGATAGAGAATTAGTAGGACCCCGGTGTTGTACATATGACCTACCTCCCTCCCTACAGCAACTCTTCCTTGCTATGCCTCCTGATCTTTCACTCCCCTAGTCCCTCCATTTACCTTCTATTTACAGTGAGTGAGGGTGTAAAATTATCCCTATAGATAGATTTTATCCATTGGATATAATAAACCATCAGATGGCATTAGTGTGGTATTGTTTAACAGAGCAGTGTAGAAACTATGGCTTCAGTGTGGAACTACACGAGATTCAAATAATTTATTATAATGAGGGACCATGAACAAAGGTCTTAGATGATGAATAACTATTCTATGAGTAACAATTCACTAGATACCTGCATCTTGAATGGCAGTCATGCAGCTCAACATGGAAATGTTCCAGTGTGCAGACGGCCTGAGTACAGTGTGGGCAGCACATGCCAACAACAGCGGCTGAATCTACAGAATGACTGTGTCGAGTTGTGTATTTTTGTAGGTGGCCATGGAATGACCAGATTTTATAATAAGTGTTGTGTCAATCCATATTGCTGTGGTTGGACACTGTACGGTCAAGCTTTCTATCGGTGAATATTCTGGTTTTCACTTACTAGATGTGATATACACTTGGAGATTTCTAGAAGTCTAAAAATACTCACGCTGCACAAAAAGTACCAATTTCATTTTGAAGGGTCAATATGTGATATACAAGAATTCTTGTTGGTGTATTATAAACTGTTATCAAACATTTATCCAGTGTTAAAGTATGAGAAATCTTCAAGGATTCACAGAAGTTTTGCATGGCAATGGCTTTATATAAATCCCTATAGTTCTGAAAGTAGTGTCCGACAGACTGTTTTTACAACTAATGTATAAATTATGTCCCCCTGTGTTTTAGAGGATATCAAACACTTGTGTTCATTGTTTGTGTTTAACTCTTCTCACCATTGCCAGCAGTCGACACTCAGTCGGTGGACAGAGCCGAGTTCTCTTGCGGCTCCTGTTTTGACTCGGGGCCCACACAGTCAGCTCTGCACCCTTGGGCCATATTTTTTGTATAAATGTACCTTATCACTGAATGTATTAAACTGTCATTTTGAAATTATTTTGCTATTTTTAAACCTAGTTTACACAACTGACCTAGTCTTAAAAGGCAAGAATAAAATATAAACTGCTCTGAATTGTGGAATACTGAATGTCATTAGACTTCAGAACAAGGCTGGGGACATGTCATGAGGACATGCCCAAATGTCTTGCTCTGGCTAGGAATCAAATGCCGAGTCTAATAGGTTGAGAGTAAACTGCATTAATCATTCCCTCCAAAGTTGCAAGCTTGCTCTAGTACATTGCTATCATACACCTTTGTGTTCTTTCCTGTATTAATATTGTGAACAGAATTCAAATATAAGGATGCCATTTGCTTAAGTATTATGGCAGAACAGAGTAATAAATACAAGAAAATTAGTAAATAAAACTAGTTGTTATATACATTTTACATTTAATACTTTATAGTTATTACTTTAAGCTAATTAATTTTTTTAAATAAATATAAAGTAGGTTTTATTACATAAAAAGCTGCATACGGAAGTTGATTAAATACTGCAATGGAAGGTCAATAAGTTCATAGGAATAAAAAGAGTTACTTAGATGGATTTGGCCATTTATCAAATTTTCAAAGGCATCTCTCACACACATTATGTTCCAAAAATACACACACAACTTTCCTAGGTCCAACCCAAGCTTCAGTGGATATTTTCAGGGTTCATTTGCAAACATATACAAAAGAGAACTTTCAGACTTCGGAATATACAGCATTCTATGCCTACTTTAAACTGAAGGATGGAATATTCAGGTTTTTGAATGATGTGGGACTTTTGTGAACTGCCGTGAAGCAACAACATACTGTACCTTTAGTTCGCACTTGATGGCTTGCCTCAATCTCTTCCCCACATTACCATAAATAAAATTTTCATGTGAATATTAACACATTATAACTACATACGAATCTAAAAGAAATAGTTGCCACAACTATCTGACGTGACTCAGCAGTGGGCAGTCATCTTAGCAAGAAGACTGCAGGGAGCCACCAAGACAGTGGTCCCCCTCCCCAACCCACAAAACAAAAAAATAACAACTTCGTGTGTGTGAATGTACTCTTGAGCACTATCCTTTTCCCCATACCCAAATTTTATCAGTTTGAACTTATCAACAAATAACATTTCACAAAAGCCACACAGTACTGTACACACATGGTACATTCTTTCTGCAAATACACATACCATTTCTATGAACTTATTTACCTCCCAACAGCTGCCACCAAACAAGGGGCAAATTCGTGTTAATATGATATGATTATGAAATTATAATATATAAACATAAAAACACAATATTAAAAACCATATAAAAATTGTAAGAGAAGCTTTCTAATCTTAACCTAGCTTGCACCAAAGTGACTAGAAACTAAAGGAATTATGTAAGGAACATGCAGAATATTTTGGAACATATAAACATGGAACAAATTTAACATTCTAGTTCAAAACCATATTGCAAAATTTGCTCCCATTGTGGTATCAAGAAACATTAGAACTTGTAAAACAAATTAAATTGTTACAAAACTCATAAAAACTCTTGCATATTTTATAATACAAAACATATTTGACATTTATGAACAAGATGATTGTGATCCCAAATTTTACAATTTGAATATTTACCAGTTATGTATATACACAGAGACCAGCTTAATAAATGAGTGTGGTACAATTCACTACTGGACATGAAGCATATTAAATACTCTAAGATACTTCCTCAAATTAATAATTGGACCAGTAAAAATTTATTATATACCAGTATAATACTATTTCATTTCACAAGTAAGAATTTACTAGACTATTATACTCAAGGTTGATTGAAACAGACCTAGAAAATAGACAAATCTACAGCCAAAACATGATTATTCTCCCTAAAGGCCTGGTATTTAACTTAATATTTTATAATTCTTTCCAAAAAATGCTTAATGATATTCCTACATCCTTATTATAACTGACACCTAAATAACTAGCTTTCAATCTCATATTTCATTCATACAACCCTATTTTACAAATGCAATTTTCCCTATATAAATACATTTCTTAGAATTATATTGCACACACACAAATGCCCCATCCACTTCCCCATTGATAATACAACACACTTATTCCCTCAAACTATGAAAATTCAAGTGATACTGTACTTACAAAAAATTATTACAAACAAATTTTTTTAAAATATTTTATGAACAACAACATATTCCTGCATTTCATTATTAATGTGATTAAACTAAAAAATATATAAATTTTCGTAAAAAGCTTAAGCTCTTTGGAATGTTAGTACAGTATATATCTCGATAACAGAATATAGAAATAATAGAAACCGAGTAATAAAAGAAAGAAGATGGCATCCTAAACACTAATGCTACTTAAAATGACAAATCTGTTTGCTATTAAGATTAATTCTGGGGGTATTTTCTCATGGCACGCGACAGCAAACCAAGTCTGTCATTTATGTTTTCCTTATGGTATATTACACAATATTCTCATATAGCTATATTATAGGACTTGCACATTATATATTATTTTCACTAGGTTTTTATTATTAATTAAATAAATTCATAAACTTAAATGGACTGTTTACCAATGGTGCTTAGTAATGTGTAGAATTTTGTATATATACTTTGTGTGCATCTATGCATATATACATGTAGGAGAGAGAGAGTGTGTGTGTGTGTGTGTGTGTGTGTGTGTGTGTGTGTGTGTGTGTGTGTGTGTGTGTAATTACCTAAGTGTAATTACCTAAGTGTAGTTACAGGATGAGAGCTACGCTCGTGGTGTCCCGTCTTCCCAGCACTCTTTGTCATATAACGCTTTGAAACTACTGACGGTCTTGGCCTCCACCACCTTCTCACTTAACTTGTTCCAACCGTCTACCACTCTATTTGCGAAGGTGAATTTTCTTATATTTCTTCGGCATCTGTGTGTGTGTGTGTGTGTGTGTGTGTGTGTGAGAGTTAGTATGTGAGAGAGTGTGAGAGTTAGTATGTACGAGTGTGTGAGAGTTAGTATGTGAGAGTGTGTGAGAGTTAGTATGCGAGTGTGTGTGTGTGTGTGTGTGTGTGTGTGTGTGTGTGTGTGTGAGAGTTAGTATGCGAGTGTGTGTGAGTGTTAGTATGTGAGTGTGTGAGTGTTAGTATGTAAGAGTGTCAGTGTGCGAGTGTGAATGTGTACTCGCCTAATTGTTCTTTGAGTTGAGCTTTGTCTCTGTGGTCCCGCCTTTTAACTGTCAATCAACTGGTGTACAGATTCCTGAGCCTACTGGGCTCTATCATTTCTACATTTGAAATTGTGTATGGAGTCAGCCTCCACCACATCACTGCCTAGTGCATTCCATTTATTAACTACTCTGACACTGAAAAAATTCTTTTTAACGTCTCTGTGGCTCATCTAGGTACTAAGTTTCCACCTGTGTCCCCTTGTTCGTGTCCACCCATGCTGAAGAGTTTGTCTTTGTCCACCCCTGTCAATTCCCCTGAGAATTTTGTAGGTGGTTTTAGGTGTAGGCGGTAGGTGTAGGTAGGTTTTGTAGGTGGTAGGTGAGAATTTTTGTAGGTGTGAGAGAGTGAGTATATATATGTCGTACCTAGTAGCCAGAACACACTTCTCGGCCTACTATGCAAAGCCCAATTTGCCTAATAGGTCGAGTGATTTTCTTAATTTTCAAAAAATTCTTTCCAATTGATTTATTTGAAATATTATTATTATATTATTTTAAGAACATAAATTATTGACTTTGTTATGTTTGTTTAGGTTAGGTTAAGGTAGGTTAGGTAGGGTAGGTTAGGTTTGGTTATATATCTACGTTAGTTTTAACTTAAATTAAAACAAATTAACTCATATATAATGAAATTGATAGCTTTATCATTTCACAAGAAAAAATTACAAAAGTATATAAATTCAAGAAAACGTGGCATATTCGACAATTCGGGCCTTGCATTGTAGGCCAAGTACAGTACTGCACTCTGGCTACAACATATTATATATATCTATCTATCTATCTACAGTACATGTGAATATACATATGAATGAAAAAAAGCAACACATTACATGTCAGGCATGACCCTACCATTAATATAATTTCTCCTTATCCTGAGTGTGGACATGTTCTTTAGAGCAGCGGTCGCCAACCGGTGGTCCGAGAGAAAATTTTGTGGGTCCACAGAAAAATCTGGACATTATTTGCAATTTTTATGTTTTATTAATAATCAAACAAAAATAACATTTTAAGAAATTCTTATACTGTATTCCAAATGTTTTGTTTTATTTGTGTATTGTATGTAACTGTATTTTCTTTAATTGTTATATTTAATGGCATCAAATACTGTAGTTTGACTTAAATAACTATCATTTCTTGTTTCACTTCAGATTCGAATGCAATAAACCCATAATGAGTGAAAAAAATTAAAGGATTATTTTGCATTTCTTTAGTTACAATATCTTTTGTAGTATTAATGATAATAGTATTACTAATATGTGTTCTTCACTTAACCAAGTTGATCAATGATTCAGAGCCTCCACAGTCTTAGACAGACACCATTAGGAAGAACATTCTAACTGGAGGTGGAGAAAGGAAAAACACTCAAAATATCAAGAAAATATGATTCTCACTACTTGAAATTTGGATTTATTTAAGAACCTGGTAGTGAGCTGCATCCACAGCCACTTTGTGTTGTGTATTATGAGAGTTTATCCATTGATACCATGAAACCTTCGAAACTCTATAGACACTTGCAATTAAAACACCCAGATTCAGCTAGGAAACCACTTGAATATTTTCAAAGAATGCATGAAAATATGCAAAAGCAAGTAACAAAAGTAACAAAAATGACCGTTGGAGATAAGTCTATTAGTGGTCCATGGGATTTAAAATTATGAATTTACTGGTCCGTGAGGTCCGAAAGGATGGCGACCACTGCTTTGGAGCAACAATTAATCCCATATCTGTACTTGTATCATCTTGTAAACTCTGACAGTCTGGTAGACGAACAGTCCACAAAGACTACCTGGTAGGAGACTAGTCGGTAGGTGTGTAAACAAACCAGGATTTACTCCAAGTGTGAACAGTACCTGTATATCACCATGTGAACTATAGTGTTACATGCTTTTCACTGTGGCATACAATACTCAAAAAAATACTACAAAGCAAGATAATTAAAGAGAGAGTTTCTCGTTGTTGTTCACCTTAAATGATTTAGCAAGCATTTTATAATATGAACTTAAGCAATGAACAAAATGCAGTGCAGTTTAAAAATGTAAAAGATTGTCTTCTTTCTAATTCACAAGTTACCTAAAATCTTTAATAAAGCAATTTGGCAACATTCAAAATTTTATACCGAAATCATTACTACAAATACTTACCATATAATGAGTATATTGTTTCTACTACAACTTGGAGAATCACAACTATACAAGAGATCACAAATGTTCCAAATGTGTCCCAAAAGTAAAATGATAAAATTAGCTTTATTCCTTTCTCAAGACTGCATTTGTTATTAACAAATGATATATATAAATAAAGCTGAGCTGCCTTTATTCACTGTTAAACAGAGATGAGATTTAAATACAGTAAGTGATCTAGTGCTTATTAGGTATACAGTAGAACTAATAAAATTAAAAGACCTGAAGTCAATGTTATGATTTAGCTGTTTGACTTTATGTTGCATGATACATCTCTGTTGAAAAGGCAAGATGAAATTTAAATGGAACACTTAAACACCTGAAAAAATGGTTAACAATTTTGATCAAGGGACCAAATGGAGACGAGCAATAAATATTTAAAGCCAAACTTAATGATAAATATTCTTTGAATGTAAATTACTTGTGGCTGCTGCTTGATGTGAATGAATGAAAAAACTACGTTTGAGAACATTCCCACCAACTGAAAGTACAGGTTAGTAGTAATTATTAATGTAAGAATTGAACACAATTATGTGATTGCTAAACATTTAAAACTATTTCAAAGTTGTACAAAATTTCATTATAAAACCTGCATAACTTTACTGTGACCCTAGGTAAACACTGCTCAAGAACACACACAAGATACAGTACACATACTCTGGGGTGGAATTTAAATTTTATCTGTCATAAACCAGCTCATCATCAGATGAAATAATGCAACATTAGACAAGTTCTTAAATTTTTTCCATTCATATACCATACAGCATATATAATATCGTACCTGTAAACTTCATATCCCAGATTTTATGCAGTGCGAGGCTCCGAAGAATATAAATATTGTTGGAATAAGTTCACATGAAAAATAATATTTAAAAGAATTCACAAAAATATTCTCATATCATCTAGACACACCTAATCAAAACTATTTATAAAGTAAACTATGATGCTTTTGGCACATTTTAAAAGTTAGCATCTATCCAAGACATAGCTGACCTTCCTTATTTAATTTAGATAAAACTTTAATATTTGATAGATGTAATGGAATATGAAGTAGCTACTATGCAAGGCATTAATTTTAAATATATACCATTCTGAAGGAACACCTTTGGTTTTACCAGAGCTTAATTCAACAAAACCTGTTTTTTAAGCTGCCAACAGTATAGGATAATATAACATATTAATTTGAAAGAAATCCTAAAATTATTTCAGTCATCTGAGTCTTACAATCGAGCCCAGAGCTTTAAGGAAAGCATTATGAATCTTTCCGCAGGTAGTGTTGGATGCCTTGAGAAGATAACGCTGCATCGGGTAATACAAGTCCTGCCTCAGGTCCTGGCCAAGCTTGTACTGCAAATTTAGTCATATTAGACATTTGATTTATTTTACCTAATATTAGATAAACAAGGCAAAATAGCAGTCTTGTATTCCCAAACAAATTAGGAGTGGTTAATTGGAATGTTATATACAATGTGTTTCAGCAACTTTGATGCAATTGTTCCCTAAGGAACTCCCCATTTCAAACTCTCCTTACTTGGTCATACTTGTTATAATACCACAGTTCATCATAAACATTACAAAGTCTTTTCTATGGGAAGCCCTTTGTGGTTCCCTGAAGAAATACACAGAGATGGTTCCCCATCTATCAAGTTACATCCGCAATGGAGTTTTGAGGCCTACTGGAGACCAGAGCCAGAAACTGGATCCTCACCAAGGCACAGGGAGTGGTGACATTTCACCACCACATCACTGGCAAGGCATTCAGAAAGTCAGCGGCACAAAACATACCACTGCTGGGTTTAAGACAGACCAAAGCCTCGAAATACATCTAATGAACTCCACCAACTAAGTAAACCAAGCATTCTCAATGGGGCAATATGGGGGACGATATGTTAGTGTCATGACAAATAATAGTATTGACAGCCCAATACAACACCGCATTTTAAAAAACCAGCATCAAATACAATGATATGCCAATTTCTGGGTGAGCCCCAATGGCTCCCTGTAGCTACTACATTGATATAGTGCTAGACAACAAGGTGTCATCAGTTGCAGAGTTCTTATTGGCCTACTGGGGACCACAAGCCAGATGCTGGCCCCCCTCAGAGAGGCACAGGGAGCAGTGGCACTATGAAAAGTTCATGTAAATTTATTCAATTCTGCCACCACCAAGGGAAAACACCCAGAAAGTGAGAAAAACAAAAACCTGCTTGATGGAGTTCTGGGAGTAGTTCTACTCCCCAAGCCCGGCCCAAGGCCAGACTTGACTTGCGAGAGTTTGGTCCACCAGGCTGTTGCTTGGAGCGGCCCGCAGGCCCACATAGCCACCACAGCCCGGTTGGTCCGGCACACTCCTTGAAGGAAACAATCTAGTTTCCTCTTGAAGATGTCCACGGTTGTTCCTGTAATATTTCTGATGCTCGCTGGTAGGACGTTAAACAACCGTGGACCTCTGATGTTCATACAGTGTTCTCTGATTGTGCCCATGGCACCTCTGCTCTTCACTGGTTCCATTCTGCATTTTCTTCCATGTCGTTCACTCCAGTACGTTGTTATTTTACTGTGCAGATTTGGGACCTGTCCCTCCAGTATTTTCCATGTGTATATTATTTGGTATCTCTCTCGTCTCCTTTCTAGTGAGTACATTTGGAGAGCTTTGAGATGATCCCAATAATTTAGGTGCTTTATCTCGTCTATGCGTGCCGTATATGTTCTCTGTATTCCCTCAATTTCAGCAATCTCTCCTGCTCTGAAGGAGGAAGTGAGTACTGGGCAGTACTCAAGACGGGACAACACAAGTGATTTGAAGAGTACAACCATTGTGATGGGATCTCTGGACTTGAAGGTTCTCGTAATCCATCCTATCATTTTTCTGGCTGACGCAATACTTGCTTGGTTATGCTCCCTAAACGTTAGGTCGTCGGACATCATTATTCCCAAATCCTTGACATGTTGTTTTCCTACTATGGGCAGATTCAATTGTGTTTTGTACCCTGTATTATGTTTAAGATCTTCATTTTTGCCGTATCTAAGTACCTGGAATTTATCACCGTTAAACATCGTGTTATTGTCTGCTGCCCAATCGAAAACTTTGTTAATATTTGTTTGTAGTTTATCAAATGTTTTCAGCAGAGGTAATTTTCATGTTGATTTTTGTATCATCTGCAAAGGATGACACGAAGCTGTGACTTGTGTTTTTGTCTATATCTGATATGAGAATAAGAGAAACAGGAAAACCATGCACAGGAAAAACTCCAATGGCAAAACACCACTTAGTCTAAGACAGGATACCGGGCCAGAGCAACTGAGAGGGTGACCAGGCACAGTACACATTAGCATAAGAACTGGTGGTGGAACAGCAAGCTGACCCAGTCTGCTTCCCTCATCTTCCATAACGAGGGAAGGGAGGTGGGGCAAACTAGTTCTCGCGCGAGTTTCACAAAATTTTGGTAATTTGTTTAAATAGTTCAGGAAGTTCTTTTGGTTGTTTTGAGGCTGTGATCTTGTTTCTAACCAAGCGGTGGTCTATTTTGTTCAGCTTTTCTGACTTTATGGGTGCCTTTCCTTAGTGGTGACAGACATGAATAAATTTACAATTTTTTTTAGTGCCACTGCTCGCTGCACCTTTGAGTGAGCCAGGTTCTGGCTCATAGTCCCTGGTAGGCCAAACAGAACTCTGACTGATGGCACCTTGTAGTCTGGCACTATCAGATATAGTAGCTTCAGGGAGCCAAAAGGGGTTACCCCCAGAAAGCACCACTTTGCTGTAACAGCAAAGCACTGGAGCACAAGCAGCAGAGAGGAAACCAGGCCCACATTGCACACCAACATAGAACTGAAGGTACTGTAGCCGGCTAAATGCAAGCTACCTCCCTCCTCTTCCCCAAACGACTAAGGAGGTGGGGTTAATGAGCTTGCACTAGTTTGGAGAGATAACTGTTTACATAGTTTGGGAGTTCTTAAAGCATTTCTCGATGATGCAGTCTCTAAGCCAGCAGTGATCTGTCCCATTAACTTTCTGGTTGCTTCCTTGGTGGTAGTATAAATAAATAAATGTGATTGCTCCCTGCACCCTCTGAGGGGAGGCCAGGTTCTGGCACTGGTACCCGGTAGGCCTACAGAGCTTAGCAGCTGATGCAACCAAGTAGATGGCACACTATTAGTGATAATAACTTCAGGGAGCCACAAGAGGCTTCCCCCAAATTCTTTTTTTCTGCACACCATGAAGGTTGTTATGGAATAACAGGCATGCAGCCTAAGAGTTAAAGGTTGCATACTGGGGAAGGTTAGACAATAAACCTAACAGGCTTCCTTTCCCAAACAATGGGAAGCCAAAACCAAACAAGGCAATTGTATTGTGCTTAGAACTTATTAATTCTCTACTTAAAGAACTGCACCACCTACATAAAGTCTGTCAAACACAAGGTTTACACCCTTCATTACTATCCAAAGCTTCATCATCCTCCATCACACAATGCTGGCATACACCTACATTAATATGAAACCAGTCACTCATCACACCATTAACCCATACAAACACTATTCTGCACAAGAACTTTTTAAAGCGTTTAATAGAACTCTACCAACTATATACATATTCTACATGAACTACATCACTCTCCAGAGCCCTACTCTCTTAACTCTGTTGTTTGATACTTTTTAAAAATGTTGAAAATACTTGTCAATAAGTGAGGATTCTCATACTAACCTCTTCCCATGCTCGATAAACAGCTCTGAATGCTGGCTGCTTGATGCTGTGGAAAGTGCCCCGGTTACCATGCAGAACAAATATACCTCGTTTCTCTGCTGCTTTGCAAACGCTCATGTACATACAGTGATCAGGGCGCAGATTGTATTCACACCCATACACATACAGCTTGTCTGAAAAGATAAAAAAACAAGCATTTTAAGTAATGACGTGCTTCTTTTTGGTAGAGCCCCAGTGGCTTCCCGAAGATTCCTTTCTAAGATCGCTCCAAACTTTTCCTGATATCAGCCACTGAAGTTATGTTTGACCTACCAGGGATCAGAGCCAGAATGTGTGTCCCCGTCCCCCCACCCAACACTTATAGAGGTGCAGGGAGCAGATGACAACTCGACACCACTTCAGGAAAGCATCCAGCAAGTCGGTGACGCTTTACAGACAACTTGAAGAATCACGGAAAAACGATACCTCAAAACTGCCAAGCAACTCAAACCATTACCATGAAACAGTAGATTCACTCAAACCTATCTCAAACTGTTTAAAACCAATAGTTGCCACCAGGTAGCCCAATCTCCAGCACACAGCCAGATCCCCAGGTCAGTTATGGAGCTGCTGCTGATAAACTCCACCAACAAACTGATGAACTTTGACAGGAGTGAGGGAATTGGGGGAGCCACCGGGGCTCTTCCAGAAAGAGGCATTTATTACATTTTAGTAGAGTGCCCCGGTGCTTCCTGAAGCTACCACAGAACAAAAACATGGGACTTATCAGGAAGGAGGTGAGATGGCAGGTACTAAAACTAAGGAGAGAATCCAGGCTAACTAAATCAAGACATGGACTAAGGCAACACACAACCGAATGGGATCAGAAACATTAACCAAACACCAGGTTGCCAGCACCCTGTTAGAAGACAAACTGCCTAGCCTGATTATTAGCCCAGAACACGTTGGAAAAGGCAACCACCAAGGCAGTGTACTTACGAACATCATGGTCTCATAGGTAGACCACAGGCTGGCTACACTTATGACACTACAGACGACCTGGGAAATTTAAGCCTTGGAACAGGAAACCAAGGAAACGGTAAAAAAATAAAAAAAAAATAAAAAAAAAGGGGGTCCACCAAAGCAGAACGAGTAGAACAAGACAGTGGTAGAGGCCAAAACCGTCAGTAGTTTCAAAGCGTTATATGACAGTACAGTACTGGAAAGACAGGCCACCACGATTGTAGTTCTCATCCTGTAACTACACTTAGGGCGAAAGATCTGCGTGTTTTGAAGGGAAACCAGAGTTACACTTAGGTAATTACACTTAGGTAATTACAAGAAGCAGTGAAGAGCTGCATCCAGACAACAAATGATGCAACCAGATCCATTTCTGAACTTTGGGAAATGGACTGTGTCCAGAACTTGCAAACAATGTACAGTACTGCATTTTCTGATACCATTCTCTACTACATACCTGTGTGACCAGATTATTTTTATCTTCTACCCTCAATATTAAATACACAAGTTCTTAAAATATACAAATACTGAATGATGAATGTGACCTGAGGTAAAAGCTTACAACATTTCACAAAATTTTACTTAACAATGAACATATTATTAGAAGTGAAGGAAAGGACTGTGGATGCTTATTTCACTAGGTTAAATATTTATGTTTAGCAAGTTACTAGACAGTAGAAATTCTACATAATTATTTCAGATGCTTTCCCGAACAGCAATCTGAGAAGGATTGTTATATTCAATGGAAGTTTGCAAATATATCAGGAAATGCTGATGAGATATGTACAGCAGTAATTAAGTAGGACTACATTCTTGGTGCATTAAGTGTTGCAGAGTATCCATGAAATTTCATATTTTATCAATGAAAACCAAGAATCTATTTATACTAATATTTGTTAGGTACCAGTACTTATTATATCTTATTAATGATATCTGTAGGACTTACCTGGATGATAGTGGAAGATAATATTGATAATATCTTGATCTCCCCATGTAATAGCATGTTTATAGTGTTTGTAAATTGGAACCACATACTCCTCCCATCCAAACTTGCGCAAACGAGTTAAATTCATAAGCATTACGCCTGAATTAACACCTGCAAACATTAAAACGTTAAAAGTTTATGTAAATGTAGATTTCTGTACAATATGTGCAAGTGAAATAGCTAATAGAGCATTATTGAAAAACTCCACATTGTGTGCAGCCCCTCGGTAGCTCCCAAACGCTTAGGCACTGGTACTATATTTCCCACCAATCGTACCAGATTCTTTTGACTTGCAGGAAATATTAGAAAGCAGGATCAGAAAATGGTTCCCTCAGAGGTGATGGGAGCATAACTTGGGGAAACTTGCCCAAAAAGTCAGAAAAAACACAACATACCATTGCGCTTAATAAAAAAGATAAAATTAAAGAAATCAAGGAAAACAACAGCTGACAATGTATAAATAACTCTAGCTCTTATTCACCCGAGCACCACCAGGTGGCAGCTCAGGTCACTCAATTACAGGCTGCCACCCTCGTGTGTGACGAGCCGCTTTGTATAGTGTCACCAAACCCCATAGGAAAAGATAAGAGAACAGCATAAGGACAGGAAGCTACCAAGAGGTCGCAGAGAACATAGCACTTCATTACAGTCTATGTTCCTTTCCTGTCCTAATCCCCTCAGTAACACCTCAAAGCTTACTCGCAGTGGTACTTCAGATGAAAATGGCTTTGTTGAAAGGAAACATTGATAGAACCAGTATAGTTCTGGGATAGAGCAGAGCATTTGAAATGTTCTGCTATTTGTTTTCTTTGCCTACTGAGGGAACGCCATTCTCATTCCAGTTTGTGTAGTAACTGCTGAAGACAGAACCCCAGCCTAGGGACCAATAAATATGTAAACAACACGAGCTATGATTTCCTTTAGCTAATGAAGTCACGATCAGCATAGGAGGCAATATAATGTCATGAGGACTAGACCCCCCACAATGGGTTAAACAGAAACCAAGGCTCCTCTTTGCCATTCACTGGAATCCTGGAACTGCTTGAGGAAACCAACAAAAAGGGATCAGGGTCAGAGCTCAATGACAATCGAGAACAAAGTTGGGGCAAAGGAAAGGGGTTGGATTTTTTTTTTCCAACACCTACACCATTGGTGGGGGTTCAGAAACCAAATGATGAGTGGACTTACACAAAATGTCCACTGGGTGCACCGGAGCACCTAAAGAGAAATCCGAGGTCTCGCTACATATATGCAAGACCAACAAACCAATGTCCTTGGATATATGTATGTATATATATGTCCAACAAACCAATAAAACAGAGGTAGTGCCTCCACTTCCATAATAGTGATGGCCAGGATGAATGCAAGAACATGCAAGATAATTATAATTGTTCCAAACAAATCTATGGTAAATAACCTTCTGGAGGTGCAGGAATGGCAAGAATCATGCTGAATTTAGCACAGGGCAGCAAAGGAATCAAGTCCAAATATATAGTCACATAACTCCAGAATTTGAGCTCAAGGTCAGTCAGTGGTGCTTGGCAAGACATCACGAGGAAGACTGGCTGCCTGGGGCTCCGTGGGGGTTGGCCCACCACCTGATGGCATACAAAGGCGTTATTGGGGGGAAGCATTGCACTTATTCCTGCTTTGTTTGATCTGAGGGAGCATGATCTCTAAGGAAGTGGGGATCTTTGATCCCCCACTTCCCCCACCCTGTGGATAGGGGGGAAAGTCTGAAATAATAGAGAAGACGGGCATGTCTATGTGGCCCCGTGATGCCAGTAGCTAAAGCTTGGGAAGCTACTGAGGAGGCCTGCCCAGGAAGAACAATCATACAAAAAAAATAAAGGTACTGTTACCTAGTCTACCAAAGTATGGATGCTTAGCAAAACGATTGTACCATCCAGTAGCCAGATCCTCATGTTCAGGAGCCATAGCTGCCATATGAGATGAATTCATAGAATAGAAGTGTCCCCACAGTTCCTCAAGTGGTGCTAGGAAGACAACATCAGTATCTACATACACCAGAGCATCCACATCTTTTAGCAATGACTGGAAAGAAAAGAAAAAGCATTAAAAGTAATGAAATGCCAATTTCTGGGTGAGCCCCAGTGGCTCCCTGAAGCTATCATACACTGATAGGGTACCATCTACTAGGTTGCATCAGCTGCAGAGGTCTATGGGCCTGCTGGGACGCAACCAGAAAGTCAGTGAAACAAACCACTGCTGGCTTCAATAGATTGCAGCCTCTAAACCCACTGAGAGAACTCCCCCAACTATTTTTAGCATAGAGCAATCTCAGCAAGAGAGCTTCAGAGTCTCTGCAGGTCTTCCTCCAGAAATTACTTTAGCATTGTCAATAGGACCAAGTCCTGTCTAAATCAGAAGCCATCTATTTAAAATCAATAAGTCAAACTATTGCCATAACAGTACAAGCTAAGCTCTTATTTTATTTATATTATAATATTATTATTATATATATATATATATATATATATATATATATATATATATATATATATATATATATATATATACATATATATATATATATATATATATATATATATATATATATATATATATATATATATATATATAAAATTGCAGGAATCTTAATTGACTTTGAACATTTATTGGCATCTTTGGCACACATATTTGAGTCCAAATGAACTTTTGAAGCCACCGAGGTACCTTATCACCACAGGACCAATATCAGGTGATAGTCATAGAAAAGACACTCAAGCTAACATTTCTGATTAACTCTTCATTATATTTTCCACAGCCTGAAACGGCTGCAGTCCCCGAGAAACTTGTATGCGAGAAATTAAGATTTCTCATCATGCATGAATAATCCAAAAAGAAATGCATTATCTTTCCAATGATTTAAGGAAAAAGGAGTTAAGGATTTCCAAGGTTCATATGTAAACTTTTATCAAGAGTTGACATTAACTTACAGGCATGAACAGTCGTTGGGATGAACATGGCTTGAAAAGTTTTCTCCATGCTGCTGCATCTTGTCCTGGAGGGAAGGCAATGCTGTGGAGGTTTAAAGATATTCTCTCCCTTACATCTGATGGCCATGATGCATGCTGTAAAATACCACATTATCTAAAAGAACCTAAATAATATTTTTGTAAAATTATACAGTATATACATATATAGTACTGTATATACACACTTTCAACAGTGTGAACATAAACACTTTTTTGGTTCAACAGAAATTGCGAGAGGGCCAGAGATCAAAAGACACAAGAATGGAATTATTATAGAAAGAGGCCAAACCCCCAAACATACCAGCGATACAAAGATGCAAGAAACAACTACACGTCAGTAAGGAGAGAGGCAGAGAGGAACTTTGAGAATGGTATAGCAGACAAATGTAAATCAGATCCAGGCCTTTTCTATAACTTCATTAAAAGCAAGCTGCAGATAAAGGATAACATTCAGAGGTTTAAAATAAGGGACAGATACGCTGAAATGAAAAGGAAATGTGTGAAACATTAAACGAAAAGTTCCAAAGTGTGTTTGTACAAAATGAGATCTTCAAAGAACCAGACACAATAAGAATTCCTGAGAACAGCATACAGCACACAGAGGTGTCTAGAGACGAAGTGAAATAAATGCTCTTGGAGCTAAGTAAGAAAGCAGTTGGCCCAGATGGAGTTTGACCATGGGTTCCGAGAGAATTTGCACCCGAGTTCGGCATTCCACTTCAGCTGATTTTTCAGACATCCCTGTGTACAGGAGTCATAGCAGATGTGTGGAAAAAGGCTAACATAGTTCCAATCTACAAAGTGGCAGCAGGGAAGACCCCCTCCCCTCAATTATAGACCTGTATCATTGACAAGTGTAATAGTCAAAATATTGGAAAAAATAATAAAATCTAAATGGGTAGAACACTTGGAGAGAAATGATATAATATCAGACAGACAGTATGGTTTTTGATCTGGAAGATCCTGTGTATCGAATTTACTCTGTTTCTATGATCGAGCCACAGAGATTTTACAGGAAAGAGATGGTTGGGTTGACTGCATCTATCTGGACCTAAAAAAGGCTTTCGACAGAATTCAACATAAGAGGTTGTTCTGGAAACTGGAAAAAAATTGGTGGGGTGTCAGGTAAGCTAACATGGATGAAAAATTTTCTGACTGATAGAAAAATGAGGAGAGTAATCAGAGGCAATGTATCAGACTGGAGAAATGTCACAAGTGAAGTACCACAGGGTTCAGTTCGTGCACCAGTGATGTTCATTGTCTACATAAATGGTTTACCAGATGGAATATATAATTATTTGAACATGTTTGCTGATGATGCTAAGATAATAGGAAGGATAAGGAACTTAGATGACTGTCATGCACTTTAAGAAGCCACCAAATACATGGATGGCGATATACTAAAGAAATTGTTCACGACTTTTGTTAGGCCAAAGCTAAAATATGCAGTGGTTGTGTGGTGCCCTTATCTTAAGAAGCACATCAACAAACTGGAAAAGGTGCAAAGACATGCTACCAAGTGGCTCCCAGAACTGAAGGGCAAGAGCTACGAGGAGAGGTTAGAGGCATTAAATATGCCAAAACTAGAAGACAGAAGAAAAAGAGGTGATATGATCACTATGTACAAAATAGTAACAGGAATTGATAAAATTGATAGGGAAGATTTCCCAAGACCTGGAACTTCAAGAACAAGAGGTCATAGATTTAACTAACTAAACAAAGATGTCGAAGAAATATTAAAGAATTTACTTTCACAAACAGAGTGGTAGACGGTTGGAACAAGTTAAGTGAGAATGTGGAGGAGGCCAAAACCGTTAGTAGTTTCA